ATAGGATAGACAGGTAGATAGATAGGTAGATAGATAAATAGACAGATAGATAGATAGCTGGGTAGGTAGGTAGGTAGGTAGGTAGGTAGGTAGGTAGGTAGGCAGGTAGGTAGGTAGGTAGACAGATAGATAGATATATAAATACGTAGATACATATATCTGTGTATGTCCATGTGGGCGCATGTACGTCTGTAAGTGTGTGAGTTTGTGCGTCGGCCTGTCTGCCTGCATGGATGAGTGTATGTACGTATATCTGTGTCTGTGTATTTATGTATGTATGTACGAAGGTATGTATTCACGCAAATATAGGAGCCTGAATAATTAGAATAGTGTTTTTTTTTGTTGGGGGCGGGTACAATATACTGAAATTATGGCGGAACCACAAGGAAGCAATATTGGCAACTATTCCGACATCTACAATACATAAGCAACAAGACATGTCACATTTGGTGCTGCTGCCAGCAGAACTGGGGCAGGAAGCCAAGGCAAAGACGTGCATAGAAATGTGAAAGCCTTCATAGACAGGAGCCCTGTAGGCACCGCATGCATGTACATGCATCATATGTAATATGTATATGCATATGTCTATGCATATCTGTATGTATGTATGTACGTATGTTTGTTTGTTGGCTTGCATGTATTTATGTGTGTCTGTGTATAGTCTACTGTCTACTGTACACTGTACACATGAATATGCAGCAAACATACATGTACATATGCACATCGGTATGCACGTAATTACATATCCATATATGATCTGCAACGATACGACATGATATGATACGGCGTGGTATGATGTGTATACCTATAATACATTTAGGTACATACATACATACATACATACATACATGCATGCATGCATACATACATGCATACATGCCTACATGCCTACATACCTACATACCTACATGCATACAAACATACATACATACATACATACATACATACATACATACATACATACACGCAGACATGCAGATACATGTGCAATCTCCGGGTTCCGGCCTGTCGGAGTGCTACCGGCCTTAGGGGCGTCCTTCGCATCACGGGGCTTCTGGGCTTTTGGGATTTCGGGATCTGCGGATCTCGGGCTTAGGCTTCGAGGCTCGGCTTTGGAGCGTAGGGCTTAGCGGCAGGGCCTCGGAGAACTGGCAGGCAGGATTTTTCGACCAGTAAGGGAGCAAGGCGACACAACTTTGCCAGCGTGCTCGGACACAGCCGGCTTATGAGATCTGAAGCGGTAGGCAGGGTTTATCCATTCACTGGTCACTACTGGCAGAACGATGCGGCGACATGCTCGCGATTCTGATATCTTTGAACAACACCAGTTCGAGACCCAATCACCCAACTCAAACCCAATTCCATCCAGAAAACTAAGCGCCTAAAACCCTACACCCCAACCCTGACCCCAAACCCCCCAAAACCCTGCTTAACACCATATAATCTAAGGTTGAAGCCATGGGCCCTAGTATGGGGCCTTGACCCTGGGATCCTTATACACCTACTATGTAGCCTATATGTACCCTCAAGGGTCCCTAGAAAGGCCCAAGGGTCCATACTAAACTAGGGGCCCATACCTCTAACCTTAGATATAAATCAACAGAACTCCAGCTTCTCCTCCTTGGTCACAGTCGGCACGCTCGACATGGGCACTGGCTGGGATGGCGTGACCGTGGCGGCCTAGCAGAAACACGAATCTCTGGCGGTTTAGGATTTGAGTAATGTCGGGGCTTTAATAATTAGAAGACGCCTTTTTTGGGGTATACAGGAACCCCCAAAACCCTGTTCTAATTATTAAGGCACCTACATTCATTCGGGTTTAGGGGCTATGCATTTCGGGAGTTAAGGTTTGGCACAAACACAACTTCGGGCTCCAGACTTGTGGTGAGGAGCATCGTGAGGCTTTGTTCGATTTGGCCGTTAAAAACTTGGACTAGAAGCACTAATGTCGGGGCCTGGATTTATACCAATACGATTGGTGGTTCCGTTTTTTTGTATAATGGGCCACAAAACCCTATTCTAATTATGAAGGCCCCTACATTAGAGGTTTATTCAGTTTGTGACCTTTTGCTGCCAGATGTCGCGAGCACAGTTTGGGGGAGCAGTTTCCGACGGCAATTGGCGGCGTGACTTCTGGGCTCTACTCATATTAAAACAATGCTCGACATCTCTGCATCAGGTCCGGTCGTGGATACCGTTTCAATATCAGAGGTGTTTCGGAGTAGGCTTTGTGTAGCTGCTTTAGTTGCTGCTGTCGTTGTCATCGTTGTTGTTACCATGAGAACAGAGCCCAAATTGTGGAACGATACACCGGCCGCCATCAAGGCAACAGCAGGTGAACAACACTAGTGTTGCTATCGTGCCTTCAAATGTGGCGGTGCCGATACCTCTCGGAACAGCAACCTCACAGCGCTCGAACCTTCAACTCTCAACCGTTTTCAGCCCAAGTCAGGTTGCCTTTGTCTCGGAGGCAGCCGGAGACTTCACGCGCCTGGCGCCGGCTCGACATTTCCAGAAGCTTCCACCGGAGTCATCCCATCCCGCAGCCCCGTCACTGATGTCGTGGACGAACAGACTCACCCTAGGGCTCCAAGTATACAAACAGTACCTACTTTGGGGTCTATAGTCTGTAAATAGTACCTACATTGGGCTATTTGGAGCCCCAGGGTCATTAATTTAGGAATGCTCTGGGTGGAGAAGGGGTTCTGCTTCTTGCTTCGGGGTTTGGGAGGCCAGTGCCGCCACATTCTCAGTGAAGCCTTCCGAGTTTACTAGACCGGAAAACCCTCGAAAATCGCAAAAACCAAAAAGCAACCTAACCCCTGAAAAGAACCGCCAGAAAAAAACACACAAAAACACCTTGAAAACCATGCCCAAGGTTGCTAGGACTCTAGAACCCCCGTCCCGCAAGAAAGCAACCCATAGACCGAACAAAAAGCGAAAGCCCCATCAACAATAAAACACAGCTAAACAGCCAAACTGCCCCTAAACTCTGAACCCCTGAAACCTAAACCCCTAAAGCCCCAAAGCCCTAAACCCCCCAAGCCCTGAACTGCATGAGCCCTCAAAAACCCGCAAGAAACTCCTCCACTCAGAGGCCCCGGCTGCCGCGACTCGCCCTCAGACTTCCGACGCTTCGAGGGGCCTCCTTTGCCTACGCGCCACCGGGATTTTTTGGGGTTTAGGGTCCCTAAACCCTAAACCCTGAACTCGAAACCCTAAACTAGGCCCTAAACCCCAAACCCTAAAGCGCGAAGCTCTTAAGACTAAACCTGGGGGTTTAGGGTTTTGGGCATTTTTTGGCTGGAACCCAGGACTTCCAAGATCCCTGAATTTAGGATCATCTTGGGGATCCTACTCTAACTGAACTATAGTTTAAGGTAAAATCCTTAATTCAGGATCATCTTAGGGTTTAGGGTTGAGGAATCTAGAATAGACCTTATATCAAGTAGGAGCCCTAGTTTGGCGTTTTTGTTAATAATGGGCTTCGGCTTCAGGTTTTGGGTGGAGGGCTTGGGTCGTTCGGAATCAAGACCTTCTCCTACAAGGGATCAGGATTTTAGGGTTTGTCCGTGTATGCCAGGGTTGTAAACGTTGTTTGCTTTGCTTTGTCGTCTGGTTTTCGCCGACGTTCAAGGTCCTTCGCCGCCGAGTCTTGAGAGGGTTCGGGGTTGTTGTTAGAGATTAGAGTTTAGGGTTTTAGGGCTCAATGATCAGGATTTATGGCTTAAGGTTTAGGATCCAAGGCTTTGTTGGCTCCATAGGCTAAGTAAGGAATTCGCGTGGGGTTGGCTTCGACCTGAGGGAAGTTGCTGAGATGGCGCTAAGCGATTTCAGAGTTTGGGGTCTGTGGGCTTATTAGGGTTCAGGATTTGTGGTTTAGATCCTGTTTGCACTTCCGGGTTTTTTAGGGTCTAGCATGTTCAGGTTCAGGGTTTAGGGTTAAAATGCCAGGGTACATGTGGTATGTGAAGGTTCAGATGTAGTGGCTGCTGCTTAGGTCTACATGTGGGCTTTAGAGCTGTGGGCGTTCCTGTAGATTCGGGGTTCATGCTAGACCCAAACCCCAAACTCCCCTTAACCCCTGTACATAAGCCTTTGACATACTTAGCCGAAAACGCCGAGCCCCAAGCGGTAGAAGCCCTGAATCCCGAAACCCTTCGGCACCAACTCAAGCCCAATCCCATGTCCAAGCCGAAAAACCTCACGCTTATGGAGCATTTGAAAACTCAATGTCCTACACCCTAAGCTCTGCAACCCTAACCCTAAACCCTGAAATCCTCTCGCCTAAACCCTATATCCTATCATACTATACCTATAGTTAGTTACTACAATGCAGGGCCCCTAATAATTAATAATTCGAATAGGGTTTTAGGCTTAGGTGTTCCTTGATATAAGTATTGTATAATATACCCACATCCCCTAGGCCCCTATGTTCGTTACGAAACACAGAGGCTTCTCGGGTCGCTACCTCCGGCTTCTTCGGCTCCTTCTCCCATCTCCTGAAAACAGGGGGGGAGGTGTAGGGGTTTTGGGGTTTGAGGTTTAGGGGTTTAGGGGTGTAGGGTTTTGGGTTCTGGGGTTTAGCGTCGAGGGGTTGAGGGGTTCAGGGTCTAGCGTTTCGGGACTCTCACGGCACGTACAGGGTTCGCTGGGCATTTCACACACCTTTTTTGTAAGGCTTCATGGGCTCTTATGTAGGGATTCATGTAGGCTTTCAGGTTCATCGGTTGTTATGGAGCTTGATAGGTCATGGGATTTCAAAAGGTTTACGGCTTTAAGGATGAAGGCTCCTAGGGTGGAAGGGCTTGTGGCCTTTTTCGATGATGTTGAGCCCTAATGCCTAAACCCTACACCCCCAACCCTAAACCCTAAATCCCCGACCCAAAACCCTTAACCCTACATCCCCAACCCTAAACCCTTAACCCTAAACCCTAAACCCATCTAAACTCTAAACCCTAGCAGCCCTAAGGTGAATCGAAGCAGCAGCTTCGAAGCCTCAAACTACCTTCCAGGCTCCATTGTAGTTCCTTTTGGGGGATGCCTTAGAAAATCCCTAATATATAGTTGGTTAAACCAAAAAAAGGAACTACAATGGAGACTACAGGTACCTTCCAGGCTCCGAGGAGAGACCAAATCAGCCTGATTTTTGGGCGGTGCAGGGTTTCGGGTTTAGGGTTTAGAGTGGGTTTGAGGGCTTAGGCTTTGAGTTTGGGGAGTGTAGGGTTTAGGGTTTCAGCTTGGGGAGTGTAGGGTTGGAGGGATTAAGGTCTGAGTCTGGGGAGTCCTGAATAGTTAGAATAGGGTTTTCGGGCCCCTTATACTATCTTTATAAGTATTAGTAAAGAACACCCAAAGTAGTATTGGTAATTCCTTAAGCCCCTACATTTTATACTATATTTATAATGAAGAACCCCCAAAGTAATGTTGGTAATTCTTTAGTCTGGACCTGGAGAAGCCGCTCCATCTTCGCGGAGTCCGCCAGCTGCAGCCGCTTCTGGCGCTTTTGCCTTACTTCCCCAGGAAGCCACGGTTTAGGGTTTAGGG